TTCATTCTTCGCTCGAGCTCCTCGAACTCTTCGTCTTCATCTGCGTCTCCTGTCATGTCTGGTCCTCCCGCTGCTCCAGACTCAAGGAGTCCGCTGTCTGACTCGTTAATCTCTAGCGCGCGATTGAGGAGGTCGGTAGCCATTGGGTCCTGGGGCGAGACGGCGAGGGCTTCGTGCAAGGTGATGATAGCGTCCCAACTTCTGTTGAGGTTTAGGAGAACCAGGGCTTTTGCGGTGAAGACGCTCGGGTCCTTTATGCCGTGCCGAAGCACTTCGTCGAATGTCTCGAGAGCTTCGCTGTACTGTTCACACTTGCGAAGCGCATGGGCGAGATTTATCCGTGTGGGTATCCAAGCATCTGGGTCTGCTTCGTTCTGCTCTGAGAAGGCTAGCGCGCGGCGGAAGAATTGTATAGCGTCCAGTAGTTGTCCTTCGTGGAAGTAGACAACGCCCATCTCGTTAAGAAGGCAAGGATCGTTCTCGCACAGATCGTATGATGTCTTCAAGTACTCTCGCGACAAACTCAGATTGTTCAGTTGTAGGTTTTGCATGCCGAGGAATAGCTGTGGGAGATGCGAGCCTTGGAAGAGACGTGCCGCGGTGGAGTAGGCGGAGATGGCTTGATCGTGTTCCCCTTCTGCGGCAAAAGTATGCGCAAAGCCTATCCAGGCAGGGCCAAAGTGTGGGTCCATCATGGAGGATTTGGAGAAGTAGCGGCGTGCCTCAGCTATGCGACCGATTGCGAGATAGTAGGTACCAACGGCGAACCATGCGCATGGTTCTGAGGGGTTCGTGTCTGCTAGTTCGTGCGCAAGCAGGAACAGAGTGTTCTTTTCGCCAAGCTCGTGCAAAGACGCTATATGTATGGGCATGATGTTGAAGTTGTACTTGTCGTTCGCTAGGACGGCCGACGTAAGGGCAAGGGTATCGCGGAAGCGGCATAGGGTGAACATGAGATCCGCTTTCGAGAGGACTATGTCAGGGTTCTCGCCAAGGTGGTAGTGAGTCGTGAGTGTCTCTGTCGCGTTCGCAAACTCTTCTGGTCTGGTGTACTTGGATAGGCGTGTTGTGTAAAGGGTCTTGGTGAAGGACGCGGCCTCCTGTGACAAGGAAGGGTTGTTGGCGACGTTGATGGTGTCGAAGTTGAGCGATTCGAGGAACTTCCACTCCTCCTCTGGTGCCATCAATGAGTTGGACATAAGCGCATCGAAGGCCTCGAAGCATTGCACGTCGATCTGAACCGCCGTCTTGTAGCATTCCTTGGCCCGGTCGAAGGAGTTCTGCTTTGCATAGCACACACCTCGAAGATAGCACATGCCTGCTTCCGACTTGATGTTGTTAACATCTTCTCGATCGCGCTCTTCGCTCGTGGGTAGGCGCTCGTTGCGCGAGCCGTTCTTGGTCTGTCTTGCGCCGGCCCGTGTGTTGACGTCGACATGCCGCAGCTTGGTGCGCGTATTCCCTGGCGCCGAAATGAGGTGGGTTGGGTTCTTGTCGCCCAGTATCTGCAGTGCGTCTTCCAATTTCCCCAGCTTCAGAGAGCAGTGCGCAGCGAGGTATCGACATTGGGGCGTGCGCTCAACGAGGTTTCCGCGTGCGAGGAGTGACTGGGTCCTGTTGTAGTTGCCGGTGGTGAAGTGCACCTGGGCTAGCCAGAATGCGTCCTGGTCGTCATCTATGCGATTTTGTCAGTATACGTTGACCTGCCGAGTGTTAGAGCATACCCGTCAAGGCCAGCAGCTTGTCTGCAACAAAGATGGCTGTGTCGTACTGGCAGCGATTGAGGGCTTCCTGGCGCCACTCGCGTAGATATTTCTCCATAGTGTTACTATCGCATTGGGTATAGTCTGTTCAGGCGGGTTAGTGAATGTGCCCCAAATGCTATCCCCAGTCGAGGTGGCAGTCGGCGGCGGCGCGATGTTTGGAGCCAGGGTCGCGCCTGCCCGACGCGAGAGCACATGTTTGCGGGGTGCCTGCAGCAGCGGGCCGCCTTAGTCAGCCAGAAGTTGCGCGCTAGGGTTGCCGTTACCTGGACGTGATTTCTAGCACTCAACTGACATCCAACACCCCACACACGCTCATCCATATCAAACGCGACACCTTCATTTGCGCAGCATAAACCTTTATATTCTGTTTCAACGCATCCGCTCGGAGCACCCGATCAGCGCCGCACCGCACCAGACGTCGTATAACCCGCCGCCATGTCCGAACGAAAAGTGCTCACCAAGTACTACCCACCGGATTTCGATCCTTCGAAGATCACGCGCCAGCGCGGCCCCAAGAATGCCGGTCCTAAGCTGATGACGGTCCGCCTCATGGCACCTTTCTCCATGAAATGTACCCACTGCGGCGAGTTCATCTACAAAGGCCGCAAGTTCAATGCGCGCAAGGAGACGACGGACCAAAAGTACTACAACATCGCCATCTTCCGCTTCTACATTCGATGCACGCGATGCTCCGGCGAGATCACCTTCAAGACAGACCCCAAGAACATGGACTACGAATGCGAGCGTGGCGCGAAGAGGAATTTCGAGCCGTGGAGAGAGGCCAAGCTCAATGAGGAGACTGAAGAGGAACGCCTGGATCGCATAGAAAGGGAGGAGGCAGAGCGCGACGCCATGAAAGAACTCGAGACAAAGGTCATCGATGCCAAAACCGAGATGGCCATCGCGGACGCGCTGGACGAGATTAGGTCGAGAAACGCAAGGCTAGAGAAGGCGGACCGCGAGGGCAAGGGAACCGAGGTACAACCCGATGCTGCCGACGAACGACGCAAGAAGCAGGAGGAAGAAGACGCAGAGGCTGCACGACAAGCATTCGCGAATCGGAGCATGCCTGACATCGGCGAGGAGACGATTGACGAAGACATGTTCGACGCGCCTATCGAGGTACCTGTTGCTACAACTTTCACCAAGAAGCCGAAGGAAAAGAAAGACTTTAGCGCAGCGTTAGGCCTGAAGAAAAAGGCGCCTGCCTCGACCCCCGCCCCTCAGGTCAAAGCCGCCGCACAACCCTCGAAATTATCGACCATGCTCGTAGCTGGTTATGATAGCGATGACGACTGAGCTGTTGGAAGGCTATTCCAAGCGTACAAGAGCAAGCAGGGCATACACGTACCCATGGCATCCCGGATGCCACCTAGGTCACACAATCAGCCACAACGTGGTGTAGATTTGCGCTGGCCTCGTATAGATCGTTAAACACGGTATTGTTGGTGACTATGCGGTGAGTCTGCCATGGCTAGTGAAGGTGACTCATGCAGGACCAGCATCGAAGCTTGACGAGTCCATGAGGTTCATTACCGAACAGTCGCGAATAGTTCCTGCGCCCCAGAACACGGAAAAGGACTATGCGCATTCGACTGCCTTCTTATTCTGGTCGACGGAACCATCTTGTTATGGCATTTGCATTAGGCCGAACTACCGAGGCTGCTCATGTAGCGCCTTGGAAACCGGTAGCGCCGGATTAATACCACACCCCATATCCAACTTAATCTATCCCCAGACCCACCTACCAGAAGAGGTTGTAATGACTTTGTGACTACGTTACCCCGCAAAAATGGTCACCTTCCCGGTCTGACGCTCCTAGGGTTCACCGAAGCTTGGGTACCTAGCCGTCTTAGGAGGGACAGCCGTTGCGCAACGCTCGTGACGTCGTATCCTTGACAAACTATGTGGCAACGCCGGATGGAACTTTATTTCACTGCCTTTATAAGTGGCCTTCCGCCTTCTCATCTGCTCGTCATATCCAGGCTTACCGTATTCCTTTCACGATGCGTCTCCTCACTTTGTGTAGTTTGCTTCCCAGCATTCTTGCTTTACCATCACAGACCCTCGACTTTTCAAGACATGCTATTGCATCTCGCGCCGACTCGTCTCTTACAAACTATCTCGGCGTCTTCTTCCTCGGCGACAAGCCTTCTGTATACTTCTACCTCTCCAATGGCAACAACGCCAACTCCATGACTGCTTTGAACAAAGGCCAAGCGGTCATCAACCCGACAAAAGGCACTCTTGGCGTCCGCGACCCTGCAATCATATCTGGCGGAGCAGCCGAAGCTGGAAAGAAGTGGTACATCATTGGTACCGATCTGAACATCGGGAAGACAACGTGGGATGCATCCCAACGCACGGGATCCCGCGGCATCTTCGTCTGGGAATCCGTCGATCTTGTAACATGGACCAACGAACGCCTAGTCACTGTTGAAGATGCGACTGCAGGAATGGTCTGGGCACCCAGCGCTATCTTCGACGAAGCCAAAGGCCAATACTTCGTTCATTGGGCGAGCAAGTTTTATCCCACTTCCGACCCACAGCACACAGGTCCACCTTCGTCGATCCGCATCCGCTACGCATATACCAAGGACTTCAAGACCTTTAGCACGCCTCAGGACTACATCAACCGATCACCCACCAACATTATCGACCAGGAGTTTCTGGCTCTCGGTAACAACGCGTACGCGCGCTTCTTGAAGGATGAGAGCGCGAAAACAGTCTTTACGGAGATCTCGACTAATGGGCTATTTGGCACCTGGACTAGACCTGCAGGTGCTAACGCCATCATCGCATCTGGCGTTGAGGGCCCCGCGCCTTACTGGGACAACCAAGTAGCCGGCAAGGCGCATCTCTTGCTGGACTTTTATGGAGCGGATGGATATAGGCCCTACGAGAGTACCAACGTAAGGAGTGGCCAGTGGACAGCGAGTGATAGGAGTGCCTGGCCTCAGGAACTGAGGCATGGAAGTGTATTGGGCGTTAATGCGTCTCAGGTGGAAGCGCTGAAGAAGAAGTGGGGGGCTTGAGCGTTTGGATGTCGGTGACAAGGCGGTCGCCCTTGGTTTCACTCGTACCTAGACGCTAAATGGGACAATTACGCTTCTGGAATTGCGTCATGGTAGACATTGCGGATTCCCATCGGGAGTTCCTCTCTGTCTAGACCTTGCCTTTGTCCAAGCCCCTTGTTCTTGTTATTCCAAACTGTTACTACTACACTTTCTTGAGATGAAGCTGCTATCCTACGGTTGTCTCATTAGTCTTGTTACTTCGGCTACAAGTGGAGTCGTATCTGGACAAGAGCTACATGAAGATTTCACTGCCATCAACTCAAGCTCCAAAGTCTCGATTGCGGCCGCAGATCCCCAACTTGCTGTCGACACACCGCCACCCCCAGACCATGACTCCATATGGCACAAGGCTTATTGTCGCGGCGCCGCCCTTGTCCGAGCCATGTCCCTCGACGAAGAAGAAAGCAACACGATGCTGCAATGGCCTTACACACAAAGTCCTTGGGACGGCGATCTAAAGCCTGAACTGAGAAAATGGGGCTGGCTCGACAACGAAGAGGACAACACGAACATCGACGATTCGTGTGACTTCGATGAGAAGTTGAAGATGAAGAACACTTTCGACGCTCTCGGTGTTGACACGCGACCGGCGGGGAAGGGTGGACCGAATCATTGCTTCAGATTACAGCATAGCAATGGGCCTACGGTCATTCGAGACAAAAATGGCAAGATGCCTTATTTGTCCAGTCAGCGTTACGAGGCAGATGGGAAGACGTACAGGGTCAGTAACCTACACCTTCATCAACGTGATGTTCACCAGGCCAACGTCTAATAACGCAACAGGTCACCGACGCCTACAGCACCGTAGGCATAAACCGCAACGACGGTATTCTCTACTTCCTCAACCGAATGTCACCTGAGCAAGGAGCCGCAGATCTCTGGAATTTGAGACCGGAACAAGTCGATAAAGCCGATTTGCCCAAGATCCGCTCGAGCTCTGACTTAGCTTGGGCGCTCTGGAACAGGGTTCCAGGAGAACCAATGATCAAAATGATCATGGCTCTCCAGATTGTTAATACGCAAACGGCTGAGACGATCATACCGAAGGCTTTGGAGGCGGTGGGAGAAACAGAGCTGAAGAGATGGCCGGGAACGGAGATTGTTGTTGGGTCAGATAATGACGCTGAGGCTGAAGCTGCTCTTGCGCTTATTGGTACGTCATTTCTCCTGCACATCGCATCCCGCTCTCTCTGACACTCTCTAGGCTCGCCCAATGGACTCGGCGCTGGCTACTTTCTTCTACAACACAAAAGGCAGCTCGGTGGCGCAAATTTCATCTACAAGATCACGATATTTAGAAACGATGGCGATGAGTTTGATGATGAGCCTAATCTCATTTTTCACGTTGACAAGAATACAACACCGATGCCGGATGTGGAAGACACTCCTGGTGCGCCGGAGAAACCGGCGGAGAAGGGTAGCGCGGCGGTTCGAGAGGGTAAAGTAGTGAGGAGGAGTAGGGATGGGAAGGAGTTGGTTAGGGAACATGTTGTTTGGGCGAAGCTTTGATGGGAAGGAAGTAGCGTGTCGAAAGAGACTAGATCTCTTGGTCAAATTTCCTAGAGCCAGGCACAGTGACATCAATGCCGCTCTTATAAGACTTATTAGCGAACCAGTGCGAGGGATAACATGGTCGCAATGTCTCCTTCGAATGTGCGTTCACATGTCAGATATCCCAGTGCGCGGTCGTGCCTGCCTTGGCTTTATGACGCCAGTCTCGCCTTCACTTCGCAGGCAGGTCGCACTTGCTCCGAGTTCCCCCGCGTTTCGGTCACTCACCCTTGCTTAGGCATGTTAGAATTACTCGCTTGCCTGGGGTAGCCTACAGTCACCACATTCACATATTCCCTTTCACGTCAACCGGCCGCAACACTCCGACTGCGATACTACGATCTCGTATGATGAAGCTCATACACATCATCTGTATCACGGGTCTCTTCGTCCTTGGCGTGACTGAAGCTTTGCGCAACGACACCAGTGTCAAGAGAGAGTCTCCTGAGTGCCGCTGGCACCGCCGCAGCCTGAACGCTAGAGACGACAGCGACGACAACGACGACAACAACGACAACGACAGCGACGACGACGACAGCGACGACGACGACAGCGACGACAGCGACGACGACTTTTGCTTCGGTCTACAACCTGCCGACGATGCGCTCTGGCATGCAGCAAAATGCAGGGGCGGAAAACTACTTCTCGGGACCACCCAAAACGCTCCGGAAGCTGCACGATTTGTGAATCCCATCAATTCTCCCTGGGACGGCGAGATGAGAGACGATCTCTTCAAGTGGGGTTGGAAAGATGGAGTTACCGATCCCGATACAGAGTGCAATATCGACTTCCTCAAGCCTATCCTCCCGTACCTCAGAACCACTACAGGCAGCCACCTCTACGGCGGACCAAACTATTGCTTCTCGGTAAAGCATTGCGACAGTGATGCTATGGAGAAGGATGAAAACGGAAACATGTACCCCAGGAAAGAACAGTACTATGACGTCGATGGTCGATTATACAGGGTGAGTTCATATTTCGAGTCCCGATACGATCTAGCAACTTCCTGCTAACCTAAGCAATCGCGATACAGGCCACAGCCGGTTTCACTACGGCGGTCGTCAACCCAGATGCAGGCGCGATATTCTTTCTTCAACGTGGCTCTCCCGCATTCGAAGCCCGCGACTTATGGGGTTTAGAGGATCAGCATACAGTCGATCCAAATGAGTTGCCGGCTCTGCGTATGAGTTCGGATCTAGCATGGGCATTTTGGAGACGAGCGAGTAGCAATCTCCTGAAAATCTGGATTATAGCATCTTTGACAGTCGTCAATTCCGAAACGGAAAAGATTATCGACAGAGCGCTGAAGGAATCCCAGTTGAGCGAGGTTCCAGTCTGGCCGGGGGTCGACTACACACAAAACACTGACAGCTATCTGGCTATCTTGGGTACGTTCTGTTTATTTCTTCCCTATACTTCCACATGTAGAGCGTTGCGCATATCCTTTTTGACACGAAACTGATCAGAGCTACGTGATAGGATCCCCCAACGGCAGGGCAGCCGGATTCTTCCTCGCACAACACAAGCCCCAACTAGGTGGCAACCGCTGGGTCCAAACGATCCGCGTATTTCGAGTAAGCGCAGACACATCGGCACCCCATATTTTCTTCTTCGTCGGACCCGCGCCCTACCCCCCACCGAAGGTACCGGATGATCTACCCGATCCTATTATACCGCCACCAGCGCAAGCGGTAGAAGTGGTCAAGAGAGTTTCTGATGAGAAGAACATAGTCAGACAGCACGTGCTCTGGGCGAAGTTGTAAGGGTGCGATTTCCCGTATACGACTTGGGCTACGTTGGACCGACTCGCAGATATGTATGCTTAGTATATGCCATAAGCTTATCCAAATGCTTCTTCATGTTGATCGATGACTGTGTCTTTCACTCTCAGACTCGCCACGCTCACGCTTCTGACTCTTGCTGCTTACCTTAATGATCTTTCACTCATATTCCAAACACTCCGAGTGTCACTCGCGTCATTCCGGGTACGTACGCGTCGTATCACTGGAACTAACGCCCTTTACTCCATAGACCCACTTACATCTCTCATGTACTCTCTCACCGCAGCGCCTACCAGCTCACACTGATCTGCAACATGAAAATCCACCTACTTTCATGTCTCGCCGCGTTTCAGAGCCTCGTCGCGAGTGAGGCTCTACTACCCTCCGTCAACGAGACGTCACTCGATCTCTCCAGCCTGGTCACTGAAGACGGCCATAGCCTACTCAAAAGAGCACCCATCGCGCCAGCAAACGACTTCCTCTGGGTGACCGCCGGTTGCCGCGGCCAGAAACTCCAGCTAATGGACACGCTCAATCCACAGGAAGCGCAGCAATTCGGTACTCCACTGAACAGCCCATGGACTGGAACACTCGTCAACGAGCTTGCGCTGTGGGGCTATCTAGACAACAGCGAAAACAGAGATATCAAAGACGAATGCGACTTCACCATGAAGCCGATGTTCGAAACTGCACTGAAGGCTCTCGGAATCAGCGCGAGAAGCGCCCCGGATGGCGGACCGAACAAATGCTTCTCCTACGTTCACAGAGACAGTGCCGTTGTTCAGCGGTTGCCAAACGGCCAGCTGCCGGCCAGAAACCAGCAGCAGTACGTCGTCAACAGCAGAAGCTACAGGATCACAGGCGCATTCCACACCATCGGCATCAACGCGCAAGACGGCGTCATCCACATGATCAACCGCCGGTCAGCCCAATCTGCGGCAAAACAATTATGGGGGGTCGCCCAAGCTCCAAAGGACCAGCTCCCAGCCCTCGCTTCGAGTTCAGACATCGCCTGGGGTCTATGGGAAAGGATGAGTGCCGGTAACCTCGCCAACATCAACTACATTTTCTCCCACCGGATCACCAACGAAGAGACACGCGCGATCATCGCGCGCGCTTTGGAAGGCCGGGAAGTACGACCCTGGCCGGGAGAGGTATTCGAAGCAGGAATGGCTACGGAATACTGGGCTTTGTTGGGTATGTTCCACACGGCCTCTTGCTTGCAGGGTGTTACACAGTGCTGATGTATGACTTCTAGGATCGCCGAACGGCATCGCGGCAGGCTACCTGCTCGGACAACATAAACCCCAGTTTGGTCACAACAGATACGTGTCGGCTATACATGTCTTCCAGGGCGCACCGGGAAGTCCCTTCATGGGGGTACCGGCGTTGCCGTATATGTGTTTCGTTGTTAAGCCGGCGCCGTATCCACCGCCGCCTCCTCCGCAGGAGATTCAGATGCGAGATGTTGCGCTGGATGAGCCTATTGCTATCGATGAGGACGAGGACCGAGTGGTAGCGCGGTCTGAAGACGGGAAGAGTATTGTGCGGAGTCATAAATTGTTTGCAAAGTCGTAATAGAGGGGTGGAGAGATAGTTGGATCGGAGAAGGCAAAAGCTCGATATGTTTTATTGCACATATCATCATTTCTGGAATGTGCGCGTAGATCGAGTGCTTTTAATAGGGTTCGCTTTGTGCTAGTGATTGCTGCAATATGCTCTCGAACCGAACAGATGTTGTCTAACCATCTAATGGTCTCCTTCTTGTACACGAAACCATCTACTCAAGGCGCAGCATCGAAGGCCGGTTTCTACGTATCTAGTCTGAGCGGCCTGCAAAGACCACGTGTCGTCTTATGAGACTTGTCCCATCTCCATCCCCATCAACAAGATTCGACTCCACCAACCCACTGCCCTTATCCTTATCCTTGCCTTTATCTTTGTCTTCAGGCTCCGCCATCTCCGGCGGCGGCGACGGCACATCGTCGACGTAAAAGAGAATGTTCCTCATCGGGTCTTCCTTATCGGTCAAGAAGACGTTGATCTTGGAGATGTACTTGTCCTTGCCCAACTGTTTCTTGTGCTGCGCAAGGAAATACCCTGCGGCTCGACCGTTCGCGGAACCTGTTGAGCGATCTTGTTAGTAACTGAAGGTAGAACGAGATGTTGATGGGAGACACTCACCGATAATCGCTAGTCCTTCTTCCGACTTTGGATCAATCTCCGTTCCTGGCCACTTCTTCAGCTCTTTGACGGCCTGTTTAGCGATCGCTTTATCGATGATAGATTGCGTCTCTTTGTTGTTGATGTACAGGCTAAAAATCTTGCGGATGTCACTAAGATTATCCTTTCCGCGTAGCTTATTCCAGAGGCCCCATGCGAAGTCAGAACTGGCGCGCAGTTCGGGTAGCTCAGAGATCTTTGGGGTATACTTCCAGAGCATCTTTGCGGTTTCGAAGGGGCTACTGCGCGAGACGAAGAAAAGTACGCCCGCCTTGGGATTGACGCCAAACGTGTACGTGGAAGCTGTGCACTAGGCTCTGTGTCAGTCACCCCGGGAGTTTACTATGATATTCGGCTTGGCAGGCTGATGCGCAAACCCGACTTACCCGCTGCCTCTTGCCCGATGGATCAAGATAGTATTGCTTTTCGATTGGCAACATCCGACCATCGGGGTCATCCAGGTAGAAGGGATCTTTTGGATCAAAGAGAACGGCCGGACTGTTGTAGTGGAAGGCGCTGAAACACTGATTGTCTCCTCCGTCGTCGAGCGACTTATCGCTGATACTGAGACCTTTGAAAGCGGTCGTCATCCCTTGGTGACCGAAGGCGCACCAAGAGTCCTCGTCTTCCCACATATCCCAAGCCCATTTCAATCCCTCTGCCTCGAGGCTGCCGTCCCAAGGGCTGTTGAGGGGATCGATGTAACGTGTGCCTTGATTGCCGTCTCTGGTCATCGCGAGGAAGAGTTTCTGGCCTCGACATACCGCCTTTTCATACTCTTCATCGCTGATTGCCGAGGCATGGATGACGAAGCCGGGGTCTGAAGGGTTGTAGCCAGCAAAGTCGATTGGAATGACGTTCCTCGTGGAAACGTGAAGGGCTGAGATATTCAAGAGAGGCCCTCGTGGCGGGCTGAGACGTTCACTTGCGACCAGAGCGACTAATCCCGTCCATGACAGGAAATTGAGTGCCTTCATCGCGACGGAAAAGGAAGAGCGCGGTAGTGTGTGACTAGTTGAGGCTGAGCGACGGACGGGTACGCGAAAGCGGAGGAGCAGAAGGATAAGTAGTTCCGGCGGGAGGTGGGGAGGTGAAGGGTGAGCAGCCTGGATATAATCTTTGCGTAAGGTGCACGAGCAGTCGAAGGTGTAGAGCTGGGGGCCCGACCCACACTGCGTTCCAAGCGTACTACGAAAAAGGTTTAGTTGCAAGCGACTCTACTGTCATTCCGTTTCACTCAACAGTACAAGATATCACCGCCACCGAGATACAGTGAAGGCGTTACCTGCTCAGCAATGACACTGGCCTTGGACCCTCGACCTTCGGAACCTAGAAACCCACGACGGGTGTTTCTACCTCTTCTCCCACGCGTGCAGTCATGCTGCCAGTCGCCGTGAGTCAGAGAACAGTCTGGGTGATGTCAATAGCATGAAGCCGAGATGTCATAGTTGCAAGCCTTTCCTGGCCTTCGTTCCATAAGCTGTGGTTGTCTTATCTTTGTCCGCTGGACCATATCGCTTGGAGCCTTGTTTTTGCGGCCATGCTAATCGATAGAATTTGGTTGAAACGGACCAGTAGTTCTTTGCGGTATTATTGTGCGGGCGTTTGCTGTAGATGCGATAGAAGGTGCGTGCCATCATTACCTGCACAAGCTGGACTGTGATACATCAACAATTGAGACGCGCCGTTCAAACTTTCGTTCATTGCGAGGATGAGCCATCGATTACGCTCGACCTGGTGACGGAGAGATTGATGACGGGTGCTGAGCTCCTCTCTGGTGCAATGGTACACGGTGTTGATAGACGCGCCTGAATTAATACAGTTTAGCGATGATCGAAGCTCGTAGCGTTGGCGCATGACAATATAGCTGGAACTGAGAGAGAAGCAGCCATTGAATAATGTAGGGAGCCGCGCATTCTACAACCGTTAATTTGGGTGTGGATGGTGAAGCTCAACGCGTCGACGCGTCGTTCGGTCTAGCCTGAGGCGGGATGACATATTAGTCAGCGGGAAATGTCGGGGCAGGTAAGCCGAGCGGTTGCTGCAGCGCGCGTCAACGCTGTCAACGGCTTCCATACACTCATCGGCAGATGCTCCATGTGAACGGTGTCCTGTCGAGATATATTCCATTCTGTACCTGTCTATCACGCACAGGTGCATGCGCAGCCTTTGACTACAGCCTATCCCACCCTTCGTCGACCCTTTCGCCGCTTCATCCCCGATTCGCGTCTCTACGCTGTTGGACTTTTGCTGACACCGCTCACATTTACAGTCATACACGAATAATATGCTCTTTAGGCACACTCCATCCATCCACGCTCCTTCTCAGTACCTTCGTCTTCTCCAATTCTTCAACAATGCCGATCGCATCCACATTCGAGACGTTCGCCAATTGCGCGCCATCGACCTCTCCATAAAGATTGGGTGCATCTTTCACCCAAAAGATCAGGGTCGGATAATCGTCATCCGTAACAGGCCAACGCGCTTTGAAGGCTATGATCTTGGAGATCATCTTGTTACCTCTTAGTTGCTGGTTGTGCTGGGCAAGGAAGAAGCCGACTGCGATACCGCTCAGAGAACCTGCAGTGTAGTCTGTCAGCGCTATAAACCTACAGCTTTCCCCATCAATAACAGGGGTATAGCAACAGCTGTCATGCCGAACACATTGGACCTACCTAAGATTGCGACTGCTTCGACAGAGGTGATGTCGAAGTCAATTCCTGGCCATTCCTGGATACTGTCCACTTTTGTATGCCCCGATGGCGGTCTATGGGTGTTGATGGCGAGGTTCAGAATTCCCAATATCTGCTCACTGTCGGCACTCAGACCCCAGAAAGCTGTCATTGGAGTATTGTGCGGTCATCGATTCCAGAAGCCCCATGCCAAGTCAGCGTTACTTCGCAAGGCCGGTAGGTCTCTCGATTGTGGTGTGTTTTCACAGCGGTCTTCCAGTGCAGTGGGGTTGTCGAGTCCGGCCATCGGCGCCTCCATTCATGATACCATTGCGTTTGCTTTGAATGAGTACTAATCCCTTTCTTTCCGGTGCTTGAGTGTTCAATCCACCGGCTGTTTGATGAACAAACAAATATGCTGGCAGCGAAAGATCATGACTGTCACTAAGCGGACTTAGCGTCCGCGTGCCATCGTGAAGATGTGGAAGGTATGCTCGCGTTCTTTTCTATTGGATGAGACTGCGCTCTGATGAGATTCAGCTTTCCTGCTTCCTAATTGCGACTGCATTACAATCATTCATGAGCCTCTTGCGGGCGCACTGCCCCGGCTCACAAGCCAGTGGACACGACGGCGGGAGAGTGGGCATGGGGCTTGGTTCGTAGTACCGTCGCCTTCAACTGTTGACTTTTGCCAACTCGTAATTACCATGGCAACATGAATCAGATAAAAATGCGATTCTCACGATAATAGTCGGATGCCCGGGCACGCATAAAGTGTAGTCGTTCTTAGCTTTTCCCGATGCAGTAGTCCGTGGTGCGTACTTCTGGGGAAGGTTTGCCGAACCCCGCATTACCGTGTACACACACGCGTCTAGCCAACGCTCGCGTCGAGACCATTTCAACGAGCAATTGAACTTGGTTATAAGCAGCAATGAGTTACGATGTTCTTTCAGACAGTTGACCAGAATCCATCTTCTTACAAATTCCCATCATGAACGGCCATGCGGAACCGAGCAAGCGTCAACGTTTCGACGTGCCTGCCAAGATGAAAGCATTACGGTAGGCATGCTCGGCTCGAAACATACGATATCTCATTGCTAAGATACTCAAGATACTCTGGCCCCGAGAAATTCGCAGTCGAGACCATCGATGTTCCAACAATTGGTGATGATGATGTTCTTGTACGACATGCTATTCATCACCCCGCGGTATTTGCTGCACTAACACACGAAAGGTCAAGATCTCGGCCTGCGGTGTATGCGGAACAGTAAGTAGTAGAAGAGGAGAAAGACTCCGGGGATACATCATACTGACCAACTTGAAGGATTTGCATTATCAGTAAGCTCCGGATGCGAAAAGCTTGCGAGGCATGCACTGACTCGGCATGTTCACATCTGCAGCAAAGGCGAATTTCTAGCAAAGGTGCGATCATTGGGAAATTATGTATTGAGCAAAGCTAACGTCCTTGAAGTATCCTTTGATACCCGGTACGAGCGACCGTTCACTTCTCCACACACCTCACTAACCTTCCCAGGCCACGAAGCAGCAGGCACCGTCGCCGCTATCGGCAAGAACGTTCATAACGTCGCGGTTGGTGACCGCGTAGCAGCCGATGCCTTACAACCATGTCTGAACTGTTTCTACTGCACGCGCAGAAAGACCCAACTCTGTGAGAATGTCATCGGGTATGGCGGTAATGTTCCGGGTGGTTTCGCAGAGTACTGCAGATACCCAGCTCGTATGGTCTTCCCTATTGGAAACCTTCCGGATCTAGAGGCCGTCTTGCTCGAACCCGCCGCATGCGCAGCGCATGGTATTGAGAGAATGCAGATGGAAGTCGGAAGCAGAGTACTGCTTTTTGGGTGCGGACCGACCGGCATGCTGTTAGCTCAGTTGATCAAGATGAATGGCGCTGCTCATGTATGCAGCACATCTAAAGGTTACGCGTAACTACTAACGCGACCTAGTTGACCATCGCTTCAAAAGGCGGCCCGAAACTCGATCTCGCGCGCGAACTCAACATCGCCGATTCCTATATCACCATATCCGACGATAATCCCGGAGATGACATGGCTGCGCTCTCGACCGACAATCCCTACGGTTTCGATATTGTCGTGGAAGCTACGGGCGCACCCACCGTTCTCGAAAAGGCCATCGAGTACGTACGGAAAGGTGGCAAGCTAGTTGTTTACGGTGTTTACGACGAGAGCGTCAAGATTGCATGGTCGCCCTTCCGGATTTGGGAGAATGAGATCACGATTCTGGCCAGCTTCTGCAGCATGAGTCACATACCGCATGTATTAGAATATGTGAATGCTGGGAGATTGAAGTTGGGCGGCATTGCGAACAAGACGTATCGAATCGAGCAATGGGAGGAATGTCTGGACGCGGTGAGGAAACAAGAGGTTGTCAAGGCTGCCATTGTGTTCGACTGATGCGAATCGTGGTAGTGAGAAAATAGACGAAGAACCTCAAAGCCTCACAAACGACATATCTCTAAACGGTATAGGCGAGGTTCGGAAGTGTATTAGCGTGGCGCTCCTAAATCTATAACTACTTATGAGTACATCTTCTTGTGGAAGTCGGTATTCGCCAGATCCACAGCCCGCTTCGTAGCCTCAATGAGGTCCTCCTTTGGAAGTCCCAATTCATCATTGTTCAGCTTATGATCCCTCTCGAACAAGCCTGCCTCATCGATGAAGTACCTCGTGTACAAAGCTGTCGCAAAAGACATGCGATCACCCATCATCATCTTCTCCCTAGCAGTGGCCAAGCGCTGCTTCAACGGCTCCGACGTAATCTTCCAGTCTTTCTCCGTGGTGCCAGTAACCTTCTGTACCGCCTCGAACATCTCGCGCTGGTTGAGGGCGAAAGACGATACGAAGGTCATGCGGTTGCGGTACTGCTCCAGTGTCGGCCCGTTGCCATCAGATGCCGATACTGGCAAAGATAGCAAGTTTGCCACAGCCAGCCCGGTCTGGGGCCATGTGGCAGTGTTCAGTCGCTGCTTTCCATCGTCAAAGTACACGACCTCTCTTTTCGGAATATCGATCCCAAAGTAAGCGCCGCTGAGCGAGTACTCATACCAGAAGCCGGAGGTCACGCCTATCCACGAGGAAACTCCGAGCGACTCGATAAGATTGCGAGCTATCGCCTTGCCAGGCCCAATGGTTTCGTTCTGGATCTCTTCCGTGTTGTACATGCCGAACTCGTTTGGTAGAATCCATGGTACGCCAGCTTGGGCTGCTCCACGAATGAGCTTCTCCTGCGCATTACCACCGAATACGCTCATTGTGATGACTAGTGCATCTTGTCCGGTCAGGGCTTTGACTATGGTGTCTGAACTGTCGTAATCGATGCGTGCGACGTTGACGCCAGATGGGAAAGTGGCCTTGGACTCCGTACGCGTGATGGCGGTGACGTTAAAATGGTTCTTCGCAAGGAGGGCGGAGGTAATGTATGAACCGACGTTGCCATTGGCACCGACTACGGCGATGTTTTTGAGTTTGGATAGCAATGCCATATTGACAAGTGTGAGGACGAAGGGGTGTAGAGTGAGGAACACAGAAGCGTGTTGAATTGTCACTTCAAAACTTGGGAGTGACTTCCTTCTATATACCTCTTGAAATACATGAGGAAAGATCACTGTTGGGAGGTATACGGTCGGTATTCGGTCGTAACCTTCTAGCTCCGCCCATGCATACCTAGACAAGGAGGTGCTCCTATGCTGCAACCAGTGTAGCTCGATGAGCCAATACACAAAGGTTCGACTGGCAACACTGATGGAGCCTTGTTCAGGCCCCCAGATCCATACAAAACAAGCTAAGTATGCACCGAAGTCCGATTGCTGACATGATGTGTCCGAGGTGGATAGACGTTAAAGCGCGAGCACCGAAGTGTGTGGTGATGTCATCTACAGATTCGGTTAGCGCGTCTGGCTATGGCCCAGGCGCCCATCTCCACATCCGCGGTCAACAATTCCGCGCATGGAAGACGCGTCAAAAGAAGGGGCGACGGACGTCCTCCCGACTTCTCGTCATACGAGTTTACCCCAACCAAGTCGGATGTTACGCAATGCTCGTTCCGTCTCCGTCATTTCGCTGGAGTCTTGCGCGCACGAATGCCACGCCGCATAAGTGGCCGCCTAAAGGAAGCAGCTCAGCTGCAGCCGTTCGCCAATCATGAGTGTCTTGCACAGCCCCTCCACCAGGGGACGAAAGTCTCAGGCCAGCCTGATTCTCTCCAGCAATCGCGACAGCATTGCCTCGACAACGACGCAGAGTCTGCGACATGACGGCTATTCAGGATTACCAGTACGGACCACTCGCAAACGATGGCAACACGCGTTTCATACATCTGTACCCAGCGGCGCACTTCGAAGATCCTATACGCGTCGACATCATCGAACGGGCTTACGATGCCTCCAAGACCCAAGACCCCGTCAGCTACGAAGCTTTATCGTATGCTTGGGGCTCAGATGAAGATTCGGCGTACATCTTCGTTGGGGCGAACTCTCGCTTGCGTGTCCGTCACAATGTTACCCAGATCCTGAGGTACCTGAGGGACGGTATTAAGCTAGGACTTACTGCCAGAACCCTGTGGATTGACGCTATATGCATCAACCAAGCGGACGACGAGGAGAAAGGAAAGCAGGTTACCATGATGGGGAACATTTACGCCTGTGCTAAGAGTGTGCTGGTCTGGACTGGTGAACCCGGATGCGATCTGCAAGCGCTACAGCGAAGCTTAAAAGGCGAGGATCTTTATACTCGGGAGAGTCAACTGCCTCCTCGTTTCACGCAGTTCTTTGAGACCGGATGGTTTACGAGGCGCTGGGTAGTTCAAGAGATCATGCATGCCCGCGAAGCCTACTTCGTTTGCGGTAGTGGCACGATGCAGTGGCAGCAATTCCGTGCGTTTGTCAAACACCTGGAATTTGCAATTTTCTACGAAGCATTGACGCCACATGTTACGGCAATCTTGCATCACTTGAGCAATCTCACTGCAGTACGAGATACCGAGTCTGACAAACTGTCTCAGTGCGATGAAAATACTACTTGTGTCCAAATGGATCGCACGGTAGCTAGAGCCGAGAATATGACGACACTTTTGACACGGTACTCTACTACCAGATGTGCAGATGATCGCGACAGAATCTATGCACTGTGTAGTCTCAGTTCGACACCAATTCCGGTCGACTACCAAGTCTCAGCCAATGAGCTTTATGACCGGTTAAGCAAGATAGAAGTGATCCGATTTCCAATGGCCATAATGAGCTGCGCTGGGTCCTTCGGTGGACTCACATCTTCATGGGTCCCAGATTGGAGATTACCCATGCGATACAGCCCTCTCTAGGCATCGCTTAAGATGCAATGCCCTGCATCTCCGGCGGAGGGAGAACTGGCCAGCGTTATGAAAACGTTTCTTACGATACAGGCAACTTTTGGTGGTGTCGTTGATAGTGTCGTGGATCCATCGGGTCGCACGTATGAGACCGATGATGTGACGATGCACAAATGGTACAATTATTTCGCCCGATATCACAAGAAGACGACGACAGAGCTGACATCGATGGATGGATTGATCTTATATCATACTGTGAGAGCGACACCTATCGAAGAAGATGACATTGTAATTCATCAATCTTCTTCCTTCAGGGAGCAGCATTCACGTTTCGTAAGAAGACTCCGTCATTGGGCATTGCACAGCACGGACGGTTTTGAGAAAACGATGATGTCGGAGGAAGCAGGAGACATGGGACTCGCCAGCATCAAACGGGGTCGCTCGTGTTTCTTTACAGATGCAGCGCAGTTCGGGTTGGGACCAGATTTGATAAAGGTTGGCGATTGCGTTGTGAGCATGCCAGGGTGCGACTCCATGATGGCACTACGTCCAGTCGATGCTGATCAACACATCGAGCCGATATGTGGAGACATAGGATCATCTCAGTATCCGGCTATGACGGTCGTCGGTGACTGCTGGATACCTGAACTTGTCAAATCTAATAGGGAAAATACTGCATCTAATCTTCGCACTTTCCACATCGTGTAGAAGGACAAAGTCTAGCAGCATTTGTACGTGCTTTCCTCGACAAAGGATTCTGTACTAGCTGACAATGTAGACGCAGCGCTAATGCTATGACCACCTTCGAAGCGTCCACCATCCATCCCCCGTATATGGAACGAAGACACCTTAGCGAGCCTCCCGTTCATCACCAACCACTTGGTCGTCCTCTTCCTCAACATACTCCTCACCCTCACTATCTTCGTCTTCATCGTCAATGGCTTCCGCGTTCCCCGTATTCCTCTGTGGTCTCGCCCGACGCGGCCGTCTGACAAACATCGCACCTCTTTGCGGCATGTGTGAATTATCTGGCACACGAGTGATTACCGGTGTACGATGTGGTCCGTTCCTCACAGGTGCTTGCCATGGCCTGCCCGATGCCCGATGCCTTGCACATGGCACATCCATCGAACCTGCACCTCGCCTTCCCAAAGCACCTGGAGGTAGGGGCGATTCGTATCTCATAGGCGCAGGCTCTCGGTCTTCAAACCCACCGTATCCTTGGCGCGATCCATCAAACTGTTGGTTGAAGTTATGATTGTGCTGGAATGTTTGGGACCCTGGAGCTGGCGGAGTTGTATTGTAATCATCCTCAGAAGGTGTGTTCCAAAACGAAGAGGCGAACGGATCGAACGGCCTTGGACGTTCGACTGCATAATAGCGCGGTTCCGGTCGAACCGCGGGCATCCCCAGCGGGGCTGCTGTCGTGATTGATGTGCTGAGGCCTGCCATATGCCTTGCCCAGGCATGCAAAGCATCCAGTTCACGAAGGAAATTGTGGAGCTCGGATTGCTCGACGAGAACGTATGTTGACCGCATGTTGGATGGGGTTATCTTGAGGGCTTTAGAAAGGTACATAGATATAGTGAAACCTTCTGCTCCGGCTGATCGCAGTGGGACCAAAGGACTTCTTATACGCGCGCCCAGAGTGAAATTCGCTGGTCTGAGATGGTACGTTCATATGCCACGTCTACTGATTGCGTCCTCATAGAAGAGAACACGAATGCATCGCAGAGTGTTTGGTGAGCATACGGAATTTGCTTGCTATTACACATCGGGGCTGCTCGCTACATTGCACTATACAGTCATAATCAACACGCATACTTGCTAGGGTTTCCGAGGTCACTACACAACAAACTCATTCGATCTTCGCAAGTGTCAAATTATGGAGACGGTATTACGAACGCAAAGGTCGTCGCAAGCGTCAAATAACACCTGAACTGAACCACATCTTCCCGCACCACTCACCCACTCCATCCATTCCAACGCCTACCCCTACCATTCCTCCCACTCTCTCATCCCACCTGCCTCTCCCAAATAATCAACATCCTGAAAACCAAGACAACCACAACAGGCAGCCAGAAAGCTATCAAACCCCTATCCACATTCGTCAACCGTGACACACCATCTCTACCGTCCAGCTGATTCGGATATAGAAAATCCTGGGTAAACACTAGCATGCGCTCGATGACATAGTAGGAAATGGAACCAGCAAGACTGACCGCGAACACGATTTCAAGCAAAGAGAGGGCGATTACGAGAGGTAAGAGGAGGAAGGGTGGTCGGGCGCGTTGGTCGGGCATCGTGCTGAAAGGAGGACGATAGGTTCAGATAGTGTTAGTCACTCTGGGCGAAGACGAGGATGAGAAGTCGCAGCAGAGCAAGATGTGATGGATGTTTTATCGTATGTTTTCTAGTCTATTTTCTCCACCCGTCATTCGTTTCCCTGTTGATAATAGCGCCCTTTACATCAAGCGGCCGCGTTGATAATGTTGATGATGATGAACATGCAACTGCGTTCGCGTCGCTTAGCCGCAAAGCTGCAAACGCTACTAGCAATGATGCAGCCCGTGAAATGTGTGATGGTAATGTCGTCGAACGCAGAAGTAAACGCAGAAGTGAACGCAAAAGAAGGAGGATATAGGAAAACGAAGAAAAGCAAACGCCGTGCTTTGTTCTTCCGTGGACTGTTTCCGCCCAGTATGGTATCGTAATGCAATTGAGCAAACGCCTTGCTGTGTTCTTCCGTGAACCGCTTCCGTCCAGTTTGGTAATGTGAAGCAAATAATCGAACGCCGTATGCAAAGAGTAGAAGTGTGTCCAGATGCCAGTCGAGATGTCCTGCAGCCAAACACCGAATGCAAAGACTGCGAGGTAATCCTGCAGCCAGACACCGAATGCAAAGACCGCGAGGTATCCAGACGCCGATCAGGATGTCTTGTAGTTAAACGACAATAGTGTGAGGGTGAGGTGTGTCGGCCTGCCATAAGGTTGTCCAAGCGTGCCTCGAACGGATGTGGTGATGTAGTCTTAGAACGAGTTGTCGGGGATGTTTGATTTCGCAGGTTCATAGCCGGCGTAAGGGCCGGCGTAAGGGCCAGCGTGCTGCATCTGCCAGTGCAACTCCGCAGACTGCTCGCTCTTCTGAGCTTCTTCCTTAGCCTCGTTGGATGCGAGCCAGCTTGTGAGCTTAGACCTGAGTCTCTGATCGTCTGGATCCTCTGTGTCCTTCGGCTGCTGCTCTGTAATTGGCTGCGCGACCTTGGCTACCTTGGTGGCTGGGCTGGCCTCATCGTCGTCAGAACGAGGCCTTTTCAGCTGAGGCGCCGGTTGTGTTTGCTGAATACGTTGTGTCGGTGGCTCCTGATGTTGCTGAGCTTGTGGAGCTTGCAGAATACGTTGCGCCTGCGGCTCCTGATGTTGCTGAGCTTGTGGAGCTTGCAGGATACGTTGCGCCTGCGGCTGTCGATGTGGCTGAGCTTGTGGAGCTTGCGGAATACGTGGCGACTGCAGCTGTCGATGTTGCTGTACTTTTGGAGTTTGCAGAATACGTTGAGGTTGTTGCGCGAGCTGTTGCGGCTGCAACACCTGCTGTAGCTGCCCGGCTGGTTGATGCTGCTGCATTTGTTGCAGTTTCTGCTGTTGTAGCTTCTGCGCGTTTTGCATCTGCTTGTAGACATCGCAAAGATGCTGCTTTTGCTGTGTTCCGGAACCCTGTCTGAATCGTTGCAACTTCTCAGGACTGAACGAGCTGATATATTGCTGTGTAAATCTGTTGAAGTGTGCCTGTCGCGCTGCCAGCTGTCGCGCTGCCAGTTGCTGCGCTGCCAGTTGCTGCGCTGCCAGTTGCTGCGCTGCCAGTTGTTGCGCTTCCTGTTGCTTTGCCTGCTGCGCCGCCATCTGCTGCCCGCGCGCCTTGTGAATCTCTTGCTGTTTACGTTGCTCGATTGCGTTCCTAACGATCTCGTTTTGCTTCTGGGAAGGCAACTGTTGAAACTGTTGCTTTGCCTGCGGGTCCAACCTCTGGAAATAGGCCATTCCAAACAGGGCAAACTGGCGGTTCTGACGTGCCTGAGCTTCCTCGCGAGTGGGAGGCTGCGCTTGCATAGTGGTCGGGCGCGGCTGTGATTGAGTTGATATGGCCTGACGGCGCATGTACTCGGCCATCATCTGTGGACTCATTTGCGCAGCCATCGTCTGCGGGCTCATCTTAGGAGTCGGCAGCTGCGCTTGAAGAGGGAAGGCCATCGCGGGATCGTGCGGTGACTGAGTCTGATAGCGACCGAGTGCGCCCTGTGGGGTTTGCGGGCCGCTGGTGTAGCTATTCACGGAATCCCGCCTGACGGTGTCGTCGTTTGCTGCCATGACGAGCAACTGGTGTGGGCTGAAAGAGCAAAGGTAAAGGGTTGTAAAGATGAGAGTAGCGGATGAAAATACTCAAGGTTGTGGGTGCTGGGGATCAAAATAGAGGGCTGTGATAGTCAAGATGGTGGGATGTGAGAGTTCAAGTTGAAAGAAGGTGACAAGGCGGAAAAAGCCAGACTATATGGCCTCTGTGTGCGCATTACCACGCTCACCTAACCGAGCGGAGCGAGAGATATTGCGAGAACAGGTGACTCAGTCGGACGGCCGACCACAATAGAAGCGAAAGGACAAGTGAGAGTGAGAGGGAATAGCAATGGCCGCGCTGCTACTGGCTGCCCGACAGTCGTCGACCACAGAATTCAAAGTCCAGTGATCAAGTCCCTTAACGCCGACATCCCATGAGTCTGACAGCGTCCAGGAGGTTGAAGAGATAATTAGTCGCAAAAAGAACTACATATAGTAGTCCTGCAAGACTCACGATCCCAACGATATCGATATTGAGCTAGTATGCGTGAGTGGGGGGCACGGGCCTCTGTAGCGACTGGAGGGAAGTGCGCGCGGGTTCGCCTAGGGACGGGCAATGCAGGCACGTTTGTCAGCACATGCTGTATCGAATCCAATGGTTTTAACAAGTGGAAAGCTCTTGCACATCGTTCCGAAATTCTTGTAACCTTGCTAGTGCGCCAAAAAACCACAAAGATGCCGCGGTGTTTTACACACTCCGGCAGCCCCAAAGCGCCCAAAATAGGTTAATCAAACAAAGTGCGCTCGTCTCGACCTTTGTGACAGTAATCAATATGACATCTGCAGACTTCCAGTCCGAACCATGGTTGAACCCCAGCCATGAACGTGGACCAGCGTCTATACGTAGCCTGCCAACACGCGTCAGCCCACAGTGCCCCAAACTCCTCTCATGATGAGAGAGCTGTCATATAATACCTTTCCTGGCGCCCTGGAAAAAGAAGCGGACAATGAAGACCTGCAGTCCTGCCATGGTCATAATCAAGCCCGACTCCATCAAACTGAAGTTGAATATCCTCTTCTCGGTGCTCTTGACGGTGCTGAAGTTGCGGTTCTCACGCGTGCGGAAGTATTTCTGGTTGCGGGAGATGGTGGAGAGTTGCGCGGAGAGCTTGAGGATGGATTCTTCGAGGACAGAGGTCTGCTCGGGGGAGGAGCCCTGCTTGGACGGGATTTTGGCGCGGGCGGCTTCGTTTTCAACCTGCAAGAACATGGAGTCAGCATTATGGTTCGGCGATGTCTGGAGAGATGTAGCCAGGTGGTACGTACGGCGATCTCGAAATCGACCATCTTCTCGGCGAAAGTGCTCATCTCATTGTTGAAGCAGAAACGGTATTCGCCCACGTCAAGCGCTGTGAAGACAAAATCGCCCTGTCGCTCCTTGGTGCCGTCGAGAATGACTTTGTCTGTGGGGCCGACAACCGAGTAGTCGACATCGAAAGAGCCTCCGGATTGCACCTGTTCACATGTCCGTCAGCTCGATTGTCCTTGGATCCTGCTATCACTGTATGACAATGTGGATTTGAACAGCCCGAAAGCAATTGCGCATTGGTCTTCCGGGTGGAACACATACTGCAAAGTAAAAGGCCAGCTTGGTCCCCTTGTTCTCAACGGTCGCGAAGAAGCATGCTTTCTCGTGTGCTTCTAATCGGTAGGTGAGAGCGGTAGCGTACACTGCCGTGGTATATGCCAGCAACGCGCTGAAGAGGGTGAGTAGTGACCGCATCGTGTTCGTTGGCGTGGACGACTGCGTTTGTTGATGCGTGCTCGTGTGTTGGAAGTTACAGCTGTCGACATCGAACGTCGGCGGTAGTTTTTGCCGACGCAACGCATGCAGGGAGGGAAGGCGCGGGGAACTAGCCACCAGCCAATGAAGATCAAGGCGACCGCGGACAGGTAGCGCGAAATGCAGATCCTCGACGCGTAGTCAAGTCACACTTATCATGTTGCGCGTTCACATGAACCTATCGCGACTGCTAATAGTTTTTATCTTTATTTTTGGAATTGAAAGCTGTGGTATATTGTTACGTTGTTCCTTCCCGGATAGGTGGCTGGTGTCTGGTACCATGGGATGGGTGGAAAATTCAGTCGACAACCACAGTGCAAGTTACACTGGTGACATGAAAGCAGAATGATGATATCTTTGGGACTAATCTACACTGCTTACTTACTGATCCAAAATGATACGCCATAATCATGTGCCCAACGCCTGCGCCAACCTCCCACGCACGCTACTCCGCCTATGCAATACTTGCAATATTTCAAGCTCCATTGCGCCATGTATGTTGGAGGGTGCGCAACCAACGCTTTATTGCCACTCCCTGTGAAATGCTGGCAAAACTTTGCGGACAATTTCATGCCGATCGTACCCGTGCCGAGTAATGTTACGCACCGTGCTTTTCTTCGTATCTTACACAGTCGTTGCGCTGCTTCAACGAATGAAGATGGAATCAGTCTTTCCCCAAAGCGTCTTTGTCTTGGCGGGGTGTTCAAGACCAAGTGATACATCGTCACGCGCACCTACCAAGTCCCAAAGTACTTCATCTGTGACTTCGTCAGTGCTGCAATATCACCATTGCCAAAGTGGCTTACCGTCATCGATTGGCTCAGGCTTCGCGTATTGACCCTTGCCGACAAGAGAAAACTTGATCTTGTCCAATTGCTTGCCCTTGATCTTGGTGAAGTCTGAGAGTCGTTGTTTTGTTTCGCTAAAAGGCTCGCCCTGATGTATATTAGTGCAAGTAGAGGAGGAAGGCTGATGGCTGCGCGTACCTCTTTCAGCGCAAACTGGAACGGGATACCATGCGCCTTCGATGGCTCCCTGTCAAAGTGGAATACCGAAATCTTCTTCGATGCATCGTCTTCGGGGTAAGGCGCAGCAAAGATTGACGTGTAGTCGTAGAGGCTCATGACAGAGTGATCTGACGGGAGGACCCTGTGGAACTTGTTCACATGTGCCTCGTAGACCCGCACCTTTTGCATCACCTCGTCGCTGATGCCCGCTTTCTTTTGCAGCGCTTCAACAAGATCCGCAACTTGGGCATTCTTGGGTACCATCAAAACGTGCTCCTCCTGTATGACGTTAGTTTGAAGCAAAAACAATCACTGTGTTCAACACACCTCTTTGCTGAGACCCTCAGGGAGCCACACCACCTTTACAGGTTTCCTCAGCTCTAATTCCTTCAGGCTCATATCCAAGACCTCGTAAAACAGGGCATCGTTTCGCTGATTTGCGCTTGCCGAATAGTTGTATGGGCCAGGGAAGAGGATGTTGTTCAGAGTTGACGTGGGGTTGTACTTGACAGGGTTTTTAGGCTTGCCAGCAGTGCTAACCGTCGAGAAGCGGATATAGCTAGAGTCAGTTTTGAGGTACTCAGCCACCTTGCTGGAGAACTGGTCGTACGCCATCTTTTTGCTGAGAGTCAAGGAGAATGTGGGTAGATCTGTATCAGGCAGCTTAGGCACGAACTCGATGCTGACTCTGTTCAAGAGGTAGTCGTAGAATTCCTTTGCCTCGGTGTAGCCTCCCGCAGTGGTTATCTGCGCGGTTTCCTTGTCGCTCAGTACGCGCTGGACCGTGATGATGTCACCATCTTGTATCTCCGAGGCTGCCAGTGTGACTTTTGGCTTCATCGCTTCGATCATATTCTGTTTGATCTCTTCAGAAAGCTTGATCTGCGTACCCGCTGGCCAGCCCAGCATCTTTGTGATTGCTGGAGTTAGATCGGAAACCTTGTCCTGGAATCCGGCGTAGAAGGTGCCAACACCGAATAGACTCTGCTCTTCTGCGTCGAAGTGCTTCAAAAAGATCATCAATGGGCGGTTGTTAGCCTGACCCTTGAGGTCCACTAGCTTCTCGCCAAACACTGGCGCGCCGCTTTCGTCGCGTTCTTGAGCTTTCTCGATCCACATCCTGAACTGCGACTGTTTCGTGCCATGTTTGCTTGCAGCCTCTTCGACGGTCATCTCCGGGAATTCCAGTGCGGTATCGGGGCGAATTGTGCCGTTTTGTCTATTAACCATCGACCATGGCCGCAACATATCGGCTTCGGTTCCTAGATCTTGGGCGACCGTAACCGCAAAGTCGGCCATAGTTGTGCTTCGGAGCACACGGTAGACCCTTGGGCTAGCAGGTGTGTCTGCGTCGGCTTTCCATGGAACGATGTCAAAACCTTGGTGGGCCTTGAACTGTTCATCTGACGCGACCGCAACGTCCATGTAGAGATGAGCTTCCTCGCGTTCCTTTTTCCTGCGCTCAAACAATGCCCGTTCTTCAGCCAGTCGTTCTGCCAGATGCTTCGGTGGTTCTACCGCCTTGCTGTCTATAAGAACTTGATCAAGCCTCGTCTCCCTAATGTATACCAACATGTAGGCGCTCATTGAGCGTTTTGCGGACCAGGCTCTGGTGTAGGGATTGCGTTGGCCAGTGTTCCCGTTGGCCTGGGCGTAGTCACCACCAAAGTTTTCTTCCAGCGCCTCACGTAGTGTCGCTCGAGTCACACGGTCGTCATCGAATTTGTAATAGTGGCCGTCTTTCGTTGGCTTCAGGAAGGCGTAATAGTGACCAGCGTTGAGATCACCGCTGTGAACCAAGACGCCGTGGAGGTGGTATATCCAGGATTCGGATCGATCGGCTCCGTCGGAGAGATATGGCGCAGCGTCCCACACTTCGGGGAATTCGTAACGGTCGTTCACCTTCATCATGGCGTCGCGCGTAAAGTCGTATTCGAAGCGCTTCAGCTGGAGATGTAGCACTGGCGGAAAACTCTCGAAGATGACACCCTTTTTAGCGTCTTGCAACCCAAAACCCTCTGCAAAATACTTATTTTCGCCGTCCATGGTCTCGACCTGCACGTAGTCTTTGAAGCTGTCGTCCAGGTTCTTGTTCCCGCTCACATTCAATTGTATGTCCCAGAAATCCTCAACCCGAGACGATTCGTAGTCGACGTTGATACAGGATATGTAGGTCTTCATTTTACCAACGAACATGTTGGTCAGGGCGCCCTCGGCTTCAGTACCCTTCATCCTCTCATCGAGTTTGTCCATGAGCACACGGGACAACTCCTGTACGTCCTGCTGTTCGAAAATCTGCTTCGAGTCCCAACCAAACGAGTGTGTCAGCTCCGTGGTTCCTACGGCGTTGTTTGATGTTTGGAGAAGGTAGAAGAGTCGTTGTAGGGCGTAGGCGCTATTCGAGCGATCGGCTTCCTCGGCAGTCGGGATCTGGTAAACAGCCTGGCGGAGTCAGCTGTCGTTCTATGTGTTGGGATCCGTGGCATACCTGGCGGAACGCATTGGTAAAGAAAAGTGACTGTAAGAGCGAGTTCAGATAGCATGTTGCGCCTTGGTTCTTCAAGCCGACCATGCCGGTCTCTTTCTTAGAGTCGTAGCTGTGCAAGTCAGGAAACAACGTCGGCAAAACTGTACATCCGTGAAACTCACTTGATGAAGTTGTGCCATAACACTCCCGTGGGGTCTTTGAGCACTCTTATGTATGCAGTCACATTGGCCGCATTGTCTTCTACCATTGGCCGTCCCCGGTCCTCCCAGGAGTTGCTGAAGAGTTTTCTCAGCTCTGCAAAGCGTGTGAAGCCCCAGTCGCCTTCGTCGGCAGTAAAGCGGTGGTGTGCGGTGTGTGTGGTGAATATGGTAGGGTCCTTGGGGTTCCAGAGTACAAGCATGAACTCGACACACGCATACCAATCCTCTGGCATTTGCTTTTCTTCATAGGCCTGCTCGAGGTAGAAGGACGCAAAGTCGACGTTGTTACCGTACGGGAAAAATAGTATCCGCCAGGGATGACCGCCGCATTCGAAGATAGGGCCATGTTCACGTCGTGTGAGTTGGCGCCAGTCCCTGATCTCCCATGTGTTGTATACTTCGGCCTCGGTCTCGTACTCCGGGTTCTTGGGCATGTGTCTCTTCATAAAGGCATCGTACTCGTCGGCGCGGGGCTCGGGTTCGGCGTCGACCTCGTCCATTTGGTCGTCTGTGTCGGGCGTGATTATGGCCACGTCGGCCTTCTCGTCGTACTCGTGGTCCACGAGCATGTCGCTTTCGATCTGCGTGGGTGAGTGGGTCAGCGTGGCCGCGTCTGGCGAGACGCTGGCGAAGGCGCAAGCTTACCTGATCCATGGCGGCGTCGTCTTTCCGGCAGGTGCGGATGGAAGCGGGGGCAGATGGCACGAAAGAGCTGCAGAGACGGGTCGCGGGGGCAGTCACGACTGGGTGCGCTCGACACTACAAGGTGAAAAGGGAAGCTGCGCGCCTGTCGCCTAGAGAAAGGAAGGTACGGGTGGGCAGCACTTGCGCGGGCGGGATGCGGGTAAGGATAGGTTCCTCGCTAAAGGTGGCGGCAGTGGAGATATGACGATCGGATTATTGTCGTCTGGAAAACTCCAACATCAAGCATGTGCAAGGGCGAGGTGGACAGCGAGGGCGCACAAAGACAAAAGCTGGGGAGCAGCTCTCGAGGCTCAGAACAGCAGCTCTCTTTCGACGGATGCAGCCTTGGCGCTCGATACAGTGGAGTGCGTCAAAGCAAAGCCGCGGCCTACGACGTCATCCGTCCAACATCACATACTGGCAGGCGATATGCCACGCGCATATTTCGAGCTACAAACGCTCACCCAGCATGTTTGCCGTTGTGCGTGATATGACTGGCGGTGCCGTGAAATACGCGCCCTTCTGCTTTTGCGACCGTTAATTAGAGGCTCTGAGTGAAAT